CCCCCCCCCCCCCAACTATATATTAAATTTAAAAAAATATATATATATTTAACACCATTATAAATGCTTGAGGCAAAACAGAGTTTGAGGTGGAGGCTGGCAGCTTGCAACCCCTCCTCCCCCCATGTAATAATCTGGTGACACCCCGAGGGGTCCCGACCCCCAGTTTGAGAACCCCTGTACTAGCAGATCTCCTCCTCTGCCTAGAATAGTACTTGAGAGAAGCCTTGAAAGGAATCTCTTTTGTCATAGATCTCCTCTTTAGAGAGGTTTCAGGTTCTGTACTACGCATTTCTGTGGCACAATACAGGGTGAAGTTTTGGCCCTGTTGATCTGTATGAAACCCTCAGCTTTACCCCCTTTTTATTCAGCTACATTGATATTTAGAGTAAGGTCACTTGCTCCTAATGATTCATCTAAGGAGGCTCCGTTATCTCATCAAGAGTTCTTTCAGAGTTATGAACAAGACCCCCATAATGAGGAAGAACGCCTTGTGGAGGAGTATGAGGACCTATCGGTTTCCCCAGCCATATCGTCATTATCACCTGGTGAAGCTGTGACTCCATCTACCATGTCCACAATAGACTATTTCAAGGCACTCAAAGACCTTCTTAAAAGAATGGTGGACACCTAGAGATTTTCCTAGAGGTCATCCTGGAGAGGTCTTGTGAATTATTTGATACTTTGCACCCAGTATTCCAGGTTTGCTTGGTCATGTCTATTAACCAAGGATCTGTGGCGTATCCTGGCATCTATCTTTGATCCGTCTAAGAGGGCAGGTCGCAGGTACAAAGGGGTTCCCTCTAAGACATTTGAATATTTTATTTTAACCTCATCAAGTTTTTAGTTGTGACAGCAACTCATGACAAATCTAAGCTGTCTTGCACCCCTTAATCTATGTACAGAGATGAGCCCCAGCAGATGGATCTTCTTAGGGCAATAAGGTTTATTCCTCTGCTGGCTTGCAGATCTGTACCGCCGACTATCAGGCTTTGTTGGTGCAGTTCAATTTTCTGCAGTGGGAGAAAGTCTTACAGCTAAGAGACAAACTTCCTCAAGGCACCAGAGGTAAGTTGAAGGCTGTGACTGTGGAGGGCCAACTGGTGGGGAAGATAGAAGCATCCAGAGACCTGGCAAAGTTGACATTGCAGTGCCCACTCACCTCACAACAATCAATAAGCACTGAACATCATGGTCTTAGACATACTGAAGGAGGTTCAGACCGCAATTGAAGACCTTCCTTTCAAAATGACAAGGTACTTCACTCTTCAAAGGACTCTAGTGTGATGCTTCAGTATCTGGTACTATACACACCCTGGTAAGAGGAAGCAAAGCCGATATAAGCCCTTCTCAAGGTATCTGCTTCATATCTGTAGCAGCAAAGTGCTTCTCTTTCTAAGAAAACGCGTCACTTCAAAGGAATCCCCTCTACCTTCTACTGCTGATTTTTTTTTTTCTAAGAGAAAATTGAAAATCCAACATAGCCTTCCCTTCCTTCCTTCCTACAACTCCCTCCTCCTTCTCCCTGGTCAGAGATGCAGAAATTTCTGATTGGCTATCTTCCTCTAACCCCTCCACTTGCCCCAGTGACTCCATCCCCTGATCTGCCTCATGCCCACTTTCATCTCCTTCCTTACTCTTCTCTTTAACCTCTCACTCTCCTTTGATGCCTTCCCTTCACAATACAAACATGCGTTACTCTCCTATCATAAATCCCACCCTTCACCCCACTTGCCTTCTCAACTAGTGGCCCATCACCCATTTCAGCAAGGATGTTTTCACAGTTCTACAGTCGTTTTCCAGACTGGGCCTCAGGGTCAATTCAGACACTTCTCCTCTCACCCCTACTCATCCATAGAATTTATAGGGGCTGTGCTCCACTTCCACTTGGCAGGATTTTTCCTTCAAAGATTTTTCCATAAAGAATTGCCTCAGGTCATGCATTCAGTCTCATCCAGGAACCACACTGACCGTCTGACTCAATTTTCTGGGTTATATGGTAGTTTATACTTATGTGACTATCATGGTTGTCTCTGGCCTCCTTTGGGGTTGGCTAAGGATGTTTATCCTCCAGCCAAACATGGTACGAACTTCCCCCTAGAAGTTCCTCTGTAATGCTGTCATACCTACTTTGGTGGACAGACCCTCAAAACGTCCATCTGGCTACTCTGTTTCATTCACCATCTCCTTCAAAGACTCTGAAAAATGCAGCCAATCAAGGCTGGAGTGCACATTTGGACTCTCTCCAGATACATGGCACATGGTCATGTACAGTCTCAATTACACATAAATGCATTAGAGCACATGGCCTTTCAGCTGGCTTGCAAGGTGTTCCTGCTTCTCCTTCAAGGTACTGCTGCTCAAATTCAGATGGATTATATCCTGGCTATGAACTATATAAACAGACAAGGGGGAGAGTGAGATTATCCCCCTGATGTCAGGAAGCAACACATCCATGGGATTGGTGCATTCTGCATCCGATTAATCCAATGGCCCTGTGGAAGATCAGCTAAGCAGAAGAGTTCCTTCACTCATAAATGGGAGTTAAAAGACTCTGTTCTAGACAAAATATTCCTAAGGTGGGGAGTTGCTGAATTGGTTTGCTACCAATGTGAACACGAAATGTCCAGTGTTGTGCTGATGAGACATAAGACCAGCATCTATGGCAGATGTATTTCTGATTGAGTGGGAAAATAACTTACTTATGTCTTCTTTCCATTCTGCTAATTCTCAGTCCTCAGAAGGACATGTCAGTTCTAGTATTCTGACCTGATACATCTGTCAATCAGGCAACCTCTTCAACTTCCCAAAACTCCTCCATGTTGTTTATCAGAACCAAGGCCTGATGCTGCACCCATGCATTTGACAGACTGCCTGGCCAAATTTCTGTGGACAGAAGCTGCTTAGCAGCTGTATGGGAGGTTTGGATCCATAGCAGAAGGGCCTCTATTAGAAGTACATGCCAAGTTAAGTGGAAACATTTCTCACTGCGGTCCCGTTCAGAGACCTCTTCAGCCTGTGGAATCTTCTACTCCATCTATCTTGGACTAATTGGGTTTGAAACACATGATTGCTTAGTTCTAATAGAGTTCATCTGGCTAATATATCCCTCTATCTGTTGAGGGTTAGTCCACCCCCCCACCCCAAGTGGTATCTGGATTGATTGGGGTTTTTTTTTTAAGATGGCCCAATTCATACATTTCCATCAGTGAGGCATAGTTACCTGTCTGGGACTTGAATGTGGTGCTCCTATCTTTGATATACCCACGCTTTGAACCCAGGTTGTAATATTTACTATAGCCCCTCTCTGTTAAAATGGCATCAGCTTGGCTTAGAGGGGGAGTGATATTTCAGACTTTGATGTCAAGTCCTCCATTAGTTCCTTTTCATACAGACAGTGACTCAGGCCATATCCAACATTTTTTGGAAAGTGGTTTTGGATTTTCATATAAACCAATTTACACATTTTCCCTAAACCACATGATTCTTCTGCTGAGGCTAAACTCCACAAATTAGACATTCTTAGGGTTATTCTCTTTATCTTTCCAGTATAAAGCTATTTCATAAAGCATCCAGGCTCTTCGTGATCAGTCTCAAGGGCAGGGTGTTTCTCTAAATGGGTTCCAGACTGCTGTAAGATTTCCTATTCTATTAAATAAACTACTTCTTCCTTCTCGACTTAGGGCACACTCTGCTAGGCTCAGTCAACATCAATAGCTTGTTTTAGGTGACCCTCCTATTTGAGACGTGTAGGGCAATTATGTGGTCTTCGGTACATATGTTTATCTATTACTACTCCATTGTGAAGCTTCTAGCTCAGATTCGCAGTTGGAAAGGCTTTCCTGCTGTCGTTATTTAGATACCCCTCAAGGTGGGCAGTAGAAGTGCTAACTGCTAGTCACTCATCTACAGCGGGATCTGCATAGACAAATGCTTGAAGAAAGAGGTTACTTAACTTTCAGTAACTGGAATTGTCTGAGATGCTTTTGTCCACACAGATCCTGTGATCTGCTTTGCTTGCCTGGATATTCTGTATTAGTGACGAAATTAAGTGATGGTTGGGGTGCTTTGCCCTTTATAGGGAGCATAAGAGCATACAGGTGAATGCACAGCCCCAAGGGACACTGCTGTCCAGAATGTTCCCGGCTTGTGCGTACTTCTGCTTTTGTTCACATAGATTGTTCTCCAAGAACTCCAGTTACTGTAAGTGATGGTTCTTTTGCCCTTATGCTGCTGATCATTCTGAAAGTGATACATAAATTAGCCTTCTGTAAAGAAAATTAAATTGTAGATTGACCCTCTATCTAGAGATCATGAAAGCATCTGGTACAACTTTTGAAAATGTAGGTAGTTAAGATTCTGTCGAAGAATGCACATATGGCATCAGGCTTGAATGGCTTGTATTGAGACTGTGTGTGTCTGCAGTTACAGAGGAGAAAAAGTCCTTGAAGCGGACATTTCAGCAGATACAAGAGGAAGAAGATGAGGATTACCCTGGGAGCTACTCACCCCAGGACCCCAGCACTGGGCCATTACTGGTATGTTTGGAGGGCTGAGGATCTGAGAAATTGTGAAAGGTGACCTCTTATAAAGACACAGCCACAAGGTGGAGCCATTAACAAGTAAAATGTAATTAATGGAGAAATACAATTTACGCTTGGAAGCCAATGTGTAACAACAGTTTTATTAAACCACTGGGTTGTCTGTTTGGTGGTGGGGAAGAGGAAGGGATCATAGATGCATTCTGTTGTGAATGCTATTCCAAAAGTTCTCCTTAACAATAAAAACCTGGGTAGGTCTGATTTAATCTAGGCTGAACCAAGGCTCCTGCATTACTGCCAGTGTGTTGTGTTTTTAACTTTGAAACAAAACAAAAACAAAAGATAGATTATATATAATCAACTCATGAACTCTCAAATCCAGTGCACGAACATTGACTCAAGAAATTTCATTTGGGTTTCAGGTAGAATACAGCCTGACAAAAAAACCAACCGCAAGTTTTGTATACCCTGTAGCTGCAAAAGATCAGCATTAAATGGATTTGTATGGAGTTGGAAACTAAAGTCAGTTGAGAACATTTGAACCTTAGTTTGGGACTGGTTGGAGTGTGGTGTTAATGACCCGGAGATAACAGAAATGAAATAGACAGTATAATCAAAACTCTCCTCTTTAAGGCTACAATTGGCCTTATGTTAAATCTGTGGCTATTTGAAGGAAGGTGAAGAGTTAAACAGTCTGCCAGATGTGTGGTGTAAATACTACAAAATTACATGAGTCGAGGAAATGAGAGCTTTTACTGCAGATAGCTTACAGCTTTTGGCTTGTTTTTAACACGCGTTTAATTTGTCACTTATTGGAAATCATTATGTAGCTTACAAGGAAGTATGTATGTCAAGCAGACAGTGAACATCCTTTGGTTCTTCAAGCCAGCATAAACATTGAAAAGGTGTGTGTACTTAAGAAATTTCTGTATTTTTGTAATGAACGTTTTGAATGTGTACCTAAAAATTAATTACTGAAACTGGAGGATAAAATCAGCACTACAAATTTAGCCTAGCTAATGCCAGCAAAATCATCAAATCCTTGAATGCTTTTTAAAACAAAATAAAACTGAACATTTGTGGTTTTCCTGGTTAATGTCTCTCTCCCCTTCTCCCTTTCTTTGGGCTCCTATTAATGCTCCCATCACCCAGATGCTCCTTTTGACTAGGTTAGTAAAAGCAATGTGGGTTTGTTCAGTTGCACTGGTGGATCTTTCTCAGTGGCCATTCCATTTGCTGGTTGTTAACATCAGAATGGCCATACTGGGTCAGACCAAAGGTCTATCTAGCCCAGTATCCTGTCTGCCGACCGTGGCCAATGCTGGGTGCCCCAGAGGGAATGAACGGAACAGGTAATCACCAAGTGATCCATCACCTGTCGCCCATTCCTAGCTTCTGGCAAACAGAGGCTAGGGACACTATCCCTACCCATCCTGGCTAATAGCCATTGATGGACCTATCCTCCAGGAACTTATCTAGTTCTCTTTTGAACCCTGTTATCATCTTGGCCTTCACAACATCCTCTGGCAAAGAGTTCCACAGGTTGACTGTGTGTTGTGTGAAGAAATGCTTCCTTTTGTTTGTTTTAAACCTGCTGTCTATTAATTTCATTTGGTGACCCCTAGTTCTTATGTTATGAGGAGGAGTAAATAACACTTCCTTATTTACTTTCTCCACCTCAGTCATGATTTTATAAATCTCTATCATATTCCCTTGAGTTGTCTCTTTTCCAAGCTGAAAAGTCCCAGTCTTATTAATCTCTCCTCATACAGAAGCTGTTCCATATCCCTAATCATTTTTGTTGCCCTTTTCTGAACCTTTTCCAAGTCCAATATCTCTTTTTTGAGATGGGGCGACCACATCTGCACGCAGTATTCAAGATGTGGGCGAACCATGGATTTATATAGAAGCAATATGATATTTTCTGTCCTATTATCTATCCCTTTCTTAATGACTGTCAACATTGTTCGCTTTTTTTGACTGCCGCTGCACATTGGATGTTTTCAGAGAACTATCCACAATGACTCCAAGATCTTTCTTGAGTGGTAACAGCTAATTTAGACCATCATTTTATATGTATAGTTGGGATTATGTTTTCCAAAGTGAATTACTTTGCATTTATCAACATTGAATTTCATCTGCCATTTTGTTGCCCAGTCTCCCACTTTTATTGCAAAGAACTAAATAAAACTGGCAGAACGGGATTAATGGAGTACAATATCAGTCAATTACATTGCAATTATATTCCCAAAGAATGAGTTGAGCTAGTGAAGGAATGGCAATGGCTTTAAAGTCTGCTTTAAAAAGGATGATTTTTAGCTGGCGCCAAGTGAGTATGCGGTGCTTAGAATCCTAGAATATCAGGGTTGGAAGGAACCACGGGAGGTCATCTAGTCCAACCCCCTGCTCAAAGCAGGACCAACTCCAACTAAATCATCCCAGCCAGGGCTTTGTCAAGCCTGACCTTAAAAACCTCTAAGGATGGAGATTCCACCACCTCCCTAGGTAACCCATTCCAGTGCTTCACCACCCTCCTAGTGAAATAGTGTTTCCTAATATTCAACCTAAACCTCCCCCACTGCAACTTGAGACCATTGCTCCTTGTTCTGTCATCTGCCACCACTGAGAACAGCCGAGCTCCATCCTCTTTGGAAACCCCCTTTCAAGTAGTTGAAGGCGGCTATCAAATCCCCCTCATTCTTCTCTTCTGGCGACTAAACAATCCCAGTTCCCTCAGCCTCTCCTCATAAGTCATGTGCTCCAGACCCCTAATCATTTTTGTTGCCCTCTGCTGGACTCTCTCCAATTTTTCCACATCCTTCTTGTAGTTTGGGGTCCAAAACTGGACACAGTACTCCAAGTGAAGCCTCATCATAGAATAGAGGGGAATGATCGCATCCCTCGATCTGCTGACAGTGCTCCTACTTATACACCCAAAATGCCGTTAGCCTTCTTGGCAACAAGGGCACACTGACTCATATCCAGCTTTTCGGTCCACTGTAACCCCTAGGTCCTTTTCTGCAGAACTGCTGCCTAGCCACTCGGTCCCTAGTCTGTAGCAGTACATGGGATTCTTCCGTCCTAAGTGCAGGACTCTGCACTTGTCCTTGTTGAGCCTCATCAGGTTTCTTTTGGCCCAATCCTCTAATTTGTCTAGGTCCCTCTGTATCCTATCGCTACCCTCCAGCATATCTCCCACTCCTCCCAGCTTAACTAGGTGTTGTTCAGAAAGTCTGATTTATTTAATCTTTTGGATTTATAAAATGTGCCCTCTCCACATTATCCCAAGGTACATGTATGCAGTTGAATAAATTTGCATGTAAATTTGCCTCTTGGTCAAGGCAAAATAAAAACAACCCTCAAAGGCAAAATATTGAGATGAAAAGAAATAGACCAAATGCAGAAGTGAAATGTCAGGAATATTTTTATTTCTCTAATCTGCATAGTGTTGTCCTTCATCTTTTCGGCCTTATTTTTAAATGTTCTCTTCTCTTAATTGGGATGAATGTCCACTGCAATGTCCCTGTTAAGATAAGTGTGTTGTACTTCGGCAAGAGTCCATAGTTTGGGGCTATTTTAGAGTTTAGTGGATACTATGTACAGGTACTTGCTGCAGTACGGAGTGTAAGGAGAAAGTAGGACACTAAAAAGCACTTTAAAAGGTAAGTGATCTCAGCCTGTGGTGCAATGACAATAGCTAGAGAAAATGGCTTAGCAGTAGTCCTGTTTAGAACTTGGCAGTGCTGCAGTTACCTGCTACTCCGTTTGAAAACTGTCTGTTTTTTGTCTTTCCATTCTGCAGACGGAGGACTTGATCAAAGCCCTGCAGGACCTGGAAAATGCAGCATCAGGAGATGCCACAGTGCGGCAGAAAATTGCCTCACTGCCACAGGAAGTTCAAGATGTGTCACTGCTGGAGAAAATTACAGGTAAGAAGCTAGAAGATGAATGAAAATGAGCGTAGAGGGATTTGACTTTCAAGTAACTATAATGAGTGGGATGGATGCACCTCATGCCCTTTATGCATGCCAGCTTTATAGCTCCCTAACAGTTAGCAGGTATAAATCTTCTGGCATGTGGTTGGAGGCAAGATTTACATCTCTCCTTACAGTCCTTGGGCCAAAACCAAAATGTGTTTACAAGGATTTTTATACTTGGAGAGCCTGTATTCACTGTCCTTTCCTCAACCAACTTTTGACAGCTTCATTCTCTAGTTCTGAAAAGAAACTAGAGCCAGAATTTTTAAACTCAGGTGCTGAAAGTTATGCAGTAAATATATATTTATGTATATTAAGTGGCCTGATTTCTCTTCTCTTCTCCTTCCCTCCCCTTCCCCCCCCAGAGCTGAGTACCTGCAGTTCCCTTTGTCTGCAATAGGAAGTGGGTGCTCAGATGTGCTGACCAATTATATTTGGGTGCATATAAATTTATGCATCCATGTTTGAAAAATGTTTAAGAACTGGGGAGCACATGCAAATAAGAGTCAAAATTAATTCTGTTTTTTGCGAGTATTCCTAACTTTTTTAATTTTAGAATTCTATTAGGCCTACCACTTATTCAAGTCTTTGTAGTGTGTGCTCATCATGTCCAGCTGTGAGAAGGACAAGTGCGTATTTATGTGCAAGCTTGTGTTGTGTGTGTTGATAAATATTCTCAGGCATAAGATCCATCATGCAGTGCACATCTTGCATAAATGCTAGGGCCCCATTATGTGACAGAAGACATTCTGTTAATGTAAGCTAATATTCTGGTATAATTAACAGCTCGTAAAAGGTCCACAAAAACAACTTCTAAGGGAGTGTTAGCACAATTGCAACAGTGGCACAGCTCTGGTGCTGCAGCTGTACCAATGTGTCTCTGTAGTGTAGACTCTTCCTTCAGCAACGGAAGGGGTTTTTCCCATCAGTGTAGTTAATCCTCCTCTCCAGAGGGTGGTAGTGTAGTTGACAGAAAAAAATCTTCTCTCAACCCAGCTGCATCTACACTGGGGGTTAGGTCAACCTAACTGTGGCATTCAGGGTATGAATTATTTCGCAACCCTGAGTGATGTAGCTAGGTTGAGCTAGTTTTTAAGTATAGATCAGACCTCCACTGTTAGATCTGCAAGACTAAAAATGACCAACTGGTTCTGTTTTTAAATCTTCTTCCATTTTCAGGTTGTTAGTCCTAGCAATTTTTGGGTGTCCCTTAAATCTCTTGATTACAACTCATTTTTCTTATAAACCCTGGATAACTCTTGTGAATAAAATGTTGTTGGATTAGAGCCTTTTTTCAAAGAATAAAAGGTTTTTAACTAAGTCCATGTACATTTTTTTTACCACCTTTGCATGTAGACAAAGAGGCAGCAGAACGTCTTTCGAAAACGGTGGATGAAGCATGTTTGTTACTAGCAGAGTATAATGGGCGGCTGGCAGCAGAGTTGGAAGACCGACGCCAGCTGGCACGCATGTTGATTGAGTACACTCAGAACCAGAAGGATGTATTGACAGAGAAAGAGAAAAAGTTAGAAGTGAGTACTGCTCAGAACAATGCTGAAACCTTATCCTCCTACCAAACACACGTACTTGCCTTCAAACTTAAACATTTTTTCTTTTAAATGAGAATGATGTGAGGTAATGTAGCAATTTAGTTCTCCCTGGAGCCCTTTGCTGTTGGAAGAAAACAGGCCTGAGGAATTTTTTTTTTCTGTAAATAAATAAATTAAAAACTGTGAACTGCTGAACTCAGATGTCCAGCACAACAGTAGATGGAGAAGGAAGCTCTAGAACTTAAAACAATCTGTCTCAAAAAATAGATTTATCATCCAACATTTTTGATGTTCAGTCCTGGTTCATTTCAGGGTTTTTCTTGAATGAAATCCCTATCTCAAAAAGAAATCAAGTGTCCATGTTACCCCTTCCTGCAAGTAACTGATGCTTTTTGTAAATTTTGTATATAGTTGGTTGCTGCTTGTCTGGCTTGAAGGTCCTGTTTGCTGAGAACACTTGTCAAATGCATTTTTTAGTACTGCCAACCCTGCTTAACCAAAAACTGGTGGTGCTCTTAACTGCCTTTATGTGCAGTGCTTATATGAAGGAACAGATAGTGGTGATGTAGAAAGATGACAACTCAGACTTCATGCTGTAGCCAGCTTGAACTTGGAGGGCAAGAAACTGCTGTAAAACTAAAACTGTTCTGACTGGAACTCAATAATGACCAGAAGCCCTAGAGCGAGTACATGGGGAACAGCAGACGGTCATTTATCTGAAATGTTCTTCTTTCACTGAGGAAGTGTTTTAAGCACCATGTCGTGGGACTAATATGGCAGTTTAATTAATGATTCTGGTTGTATGTCACTCTGCCATCTGTTGAACTGCCCCTGGGCGACACATTATGGGCTTCCTCTACACTGTCGGATGCTGATTATTATGAGCAGCTGCTGTTGGGTGGGATGAGAGTTACAGAGGACATAGTCTTCTAGAAGGAGACTGGATTGCAGAGCAGTTCAACCCTTTGTGTGCCCTCTTTCCATCACAACTTGTCTTCTCTCCTGGAATGCTAGGCAGTACTATTTAACTTGTACTCCGTTTTGGCCATAGGTTTTCATCTGTGTCTATACATAGTAACTTGAGTATACTGTACATTATCCATCCAGAGTTAAAATCAGCCAGAAGATTTAGGACTGTTGCATTCAAAAATCTAAAGATTGTTAGGCTTTAACTATCTATCTAGCAAATTTATTTGATCTCCAGAAGCTGATTTGAGAATTGAGTTTATTGTGGTTTTCCCATAGTTGATTTATTATAAAGCACTTGAGTTATCAAGAGTACAAAAGAAGCCATAAAAACTGCTTTCTGGCATCGGTTACTTTATTTACTGAAAATGCCAATAGAAACCTTGAGTCAGATCCATCTTTCACTGAAGTCAGTGATAAAACTCCAGTTCATTTCTGCAGGAAGGGGATTGTGAGCCCCTCATACACTTCTTAACTGCTTTAATGGCACCTACGATAAAAAGCAGAATACTTCAGCATGCGTTTTAAAAATCCTAGATTTGAATCAGCTTGAGGTATCGTAAAACTAATTTGGAAACTTGTGCTATAGCAACTCTAATCTAAAGTTTATTATAAACCAAGTTATAAATGCTGTGGGTTTTGTTTTGTTTTGAAATGACCCTTCTGGTAAGTTCTCTTATGTGAAAGTTAGCAAACTGCTATAGGCCAAAATAATGAAAATTCAGGCACTGATCCTTCACACAGTTAAGCAGATACGTAATTTAATTCACATAAATAGTCCCATTGACTTCAGTGAGACTAGTCATATGCTTGACTTTAGCATGTGCAAAAGTGTTTGACGCATTAAGGACTAAACCTGTATTTTATTAAAAATGTCTCTTAATGGCATGAAATCTTTGTCAGTTCAGAACACAGTTGCCTCATTAACAATGAAAAACTAGACGTCCAGCATACTCTCTCAGTATACCCTCAGGCCAAAACTTAAAAAAGCCTAGGAGTCTTAAATTAAAGTAGTTAAGTGACACAGAAGCACAAATCATGTTGTGGTTGTACTGCAAACCCTTTGGGGTATAGTTGACAAGCATTTCAGCTTTCCTGACTTGTGGAAGTTTAATATGTCGGAGAATTTTGTTGGTTGCAAATGTGTAGCCCAGACTATTTGCTTATCGGTTTTGTGTTTGAGTTTCTGGTGTTCTCACAGTAACAATGTTAATGAGACTCTGAGTTTATCTCATTCAGCATATATGGGCGTTTTTAAGTGTGTAATCTCTTAACAGAAAATATTTGAAATTCTTACAGGATACTAAAGAAACAAGTACAAAACATCCACTCTAGCAATTTAAGTCTATAAAATAAGAAGAAAGTAAAGAATTAGCAACATGTAAATACTCAGATTTAAATTAAAAAACCCTGTTCCTAATACTTCTCCATGACATGTTGTGCTCCATCATGACCTTTATCCAAACCTCTCAAATTGCTAGCTGTATGTCTTTACAAAAACAAACCTTGCTTTCAGCTGAGACGGGTTTTTAAAAACAAAATTCTGTTTCAGGGTGGACTGTTTACTTCATCAGCTTTTCTGTTGAAAGTGACTGAGAGGAGAGAAAGTAGGCTCCTTGTTGGTAATATGAACCAGGATTTTATTCTGTCGAGTCATGAGAAGTGCCAGTAT